TGGGTCCCCATCACCTCCGCCCTGCTAGGCCAGTGCCCCAGGGGACCAGGCTCTGGGAGGGATACGGCCGTTCTAAGGGAGCCCCAAGGAGCCATCGCTGCACCTGCAGGCCCCGATCCTTCAGCAGGTGCCCCCACCCATGCCCCTTCTGTTCCCCCTCAGCTTCTGTGCACCCTGCCAGGGTCCGAGCCGAGCTGAGGTGGGCGAGGGGAGCTCCTGCCCAGTGTCGCCATGTCCCCCAGGCCCCTTGGTGCTGTGGCCCAGCACTCCTCCCACTAAGGTCCCAGTCCTGGAGCCCCCCAAGCCGTGGGGTCACTCCTGGGCCCCTCCAGAAAAGGGGCCAACTGTTCCGGGGCGGGAGGGGCAGGATCGTGCATGGCCTGGCATGTCCTGTGCCGGCGTCCTGCACATGACAGTCTGCATCGGAGACGCTGTCACCCCTGCCGGCCGCCCTCCCCCAGCCCTGCAGCACCCGCAAACAGGCCCCACACCACTGTTGGGACCCCGTCCACTCCCAAGAAGTATCCCAGAGCCTGCTTCTGGGGCCACCCGGGACCATCTGGAGCTGGACTTGAGCCCTTTGATGAGACCTGGGGGCACCAGGGCAGTCAGGCAACGGTCAGAGTGCAGAGGACAGGGGTCAGGGGGCAGAGGTAGAGAGCAGAGGGCAGAGTCAGCCTGAAGGAAGGGACAAGGCACAGGGAGCTGGGCGCAGGCAGGAGGACCGCAGTGTCCGTCCCTTGAGGCCAGGCTGGGCTTGGGGCCAGGGCTCCTGGCCCTGGGTGGCCGCCCTGGGGGAGCCTGGCCCGGGTGGGTTGCGGGGGGCACAGTACTCACGGCTGGCAGGGAGCGCGGTGGCAGCCGACGAGCCCGGATTGCTGGGCCCACCTCGGACTGGGCTGGGACTCTGGGGGACTTGGCCGGGGGGGCCGGGCCGGCGGGGACAGCTGCTGCCGCTGATGTCACAGGGTCATGAGTGAAACCTGAGGACTGGGCCAGTCTTCAGGTGGGAGTCTCGACCCGTCCCGGCCGCATGCTGGCGCTCAGGCCTGTTCCCGGGACGCAGTGGCGCCTCCTGGCCCACGGATGGAGACACGCACCCACTCACACACACACATAGCACTCCTACACTCGCACACACATGCACACGGCACTCCCACACACGCACACACATGCACACACACAGGGACTCACACACACACAGAGGCACACAGGCATTCCCACACCCCAAAACACACACACACACAGGTACATGGGCACTCCCACACCCATACACACACGGGCACTCCCACACCCATACACATACACAACGTCATTCCCACACCCGCACACACACAGGGGTACTCGTACACATGTACGTGCACACACACACGCACAAGGGCACTCCCACACAAGCACACACATGCACATGGGCACTTCCACACCCCCCATACACACAGGCACTCCCACACCCGCACATGCACACGCATATACACATTCGCACACCCGCACACACATGGGTACTCACATACATATACCCGCACACCTGCACACACATGCACACGATCACTCCCATACCTGCACACACACACACACACACCACTTGCACACACACACACTCGCACACAGGCACTCCCACACCCGCACACAAACATGAGTACTCACAACATACATGTGCATATACACACACGCAGGCACTCCCAACCCACACACACATGCACAGACACACACACACATGCACAGGGGCACTCCCATACCTGCACACACACACAAAGCCACACAAACACACACACAGAGGCGCTCCCACACCCTCCCCCCGCTCCACACACACACAGAGCTCAGCTGGCCCAGACTGTCACCTTATGGTTTCACTCTGTATCATGCACCCATATACCCACTGGGCAGACCTTGGGGAAGGGATGTAGGGGAGGGAATAAGCCCAGAGATCCCCAAAGTTTGCCAGTGACCCCCTTTAAGGTCCCCAAAGTTTGCTGGTGATTCCCTTTACATGGGAACAGCTGATCTCCAGGCCCTGCACTCTGGGGCTGTGCTGCCCCCTAGTGGGGTCACTGGGTCACGTCCTGTCTCAGGACACCCCAGGCTGACAATGAGAATCCAGAATTCGGATTTCAGGGGCTAGGGAGATAAGATAGTACAGGTTTGATCCCCGGGATCCTATATGGCCCCTGACAACTGCCAGGAGTCATTTCTGAATATCGAGCCAGTATTAACCCCTGAGCATCGCCAGGTGTGGCTAAACAAACCAAGCCCAGTCGGCCCCTGAAGCCCCTGCAGTCTCCTGCCCTCCCAGTCCCCATCTGTTGTGTTTCCCGTCTGCCTCCTGCCACCCTGTTCTCCCCTAACTCCAGGACAGTGGCTCTGAGAGGGACTCAGGGAGACCCCTGGTCCTGGGCTACGTCTGACTACAGCCACAGCATTGCCACGGTTTGAGAAGCTCCCCCAGGGAGCCACCTCCTGGCCCCGGGCCTGTGCGCCTAAGATTCTGCCCATCAGGGGGCTCCATGGGGTTCCTGCTCTGCCTGTTTTGTTTGGGGCCACACCAGTGGTGCTCAGGGCTGACTTATGACTCTGCACTCAGGGATCACCCCTGGTGGGGCTTAGGGGCACCATCTAGGATGCCAGGAATCAAACCCAGGTCAGCTGCGTGCAAGGCAAGTGATCCCCCACCCCCACTGTGCTATTGCTTTGGCTCCGTCTCCCTGTGGCTTTATTGCTCACTGCAGCCTGGGGTGAGCCTGCAGCCGCCCGTCTCTTCTTCACGAGGGTCGGCTTGTCTGAGAGTCAGTGAAGGATGTTCTGTCTCTCCCCAAGTTGCCGCCCCTCTGCAGTGTTGCTCCAAGAGCACTGAGGGGCTCTGGCTCCTTCCCGCATGTTCAGAGCCGTCCCTGAGTCCCAGCGCCACCTCACCCTGTCTTCCCAGAGAGTAGACCTCTGGAGTGTGCACACTGTGGTGGTCGGGGAGGGGGGAACCACCTCTGCTCTGGGAGCCCTGACCCTCAGTCTCCAGCATCATCTCCGTGCAGCCCAGGGATCTTGCCACTCGCAGATGCCTGTCCCTTCAGTAATGTCTCCCAGAGAGCATCTTCAGCAGATGTGAAGGAAACCAAAGGCCAGTGCACCCCCCAGCCCCCCAAAGCAAAGACAAGGAGGTGGGAGCCATGTGGTTTATTAAGGAGGTCGGGAAGCCTGGAAGGGAGAAGAGGCACTAGCTCGAGCTGGTGATGGCCAAGGAGGGCAGCTGGGGGTCCCTGAGACTGCAGGGAGGACCCCTCAACAGACCCACTGAGGCAGAGGCCTGGAGCCATGAACTCTTCGCCTTCAGGACAGGTGGTTGCTCCTGACACCCCCAGCCTGGTTCACGTGTGGCTCGAGAATGCTTCGGTGTAGACAGCAGGCGGCATTGACAGCAGGCGGTATAGACAGCAGGCATATAGGAGCACTTGAAGGCTGCCCCAGGAGGGGAGTAGGGAGAACTCTGATAGCATCCCACCCTCCCCTCTTTCTTTCCCAACCTGACAGATAGGCAGAAGACTGTCTCTCACTGCTGGGCACGAGTACGGGCCATCACCCAGCCCAAAAATAGGGTCCCCGATGCCCACACGGCCAGGGACCCTGGCATTTGCTCCAGCAGATACTCACTCCTCCTAACTCTCGCTGCAGTAACCTTGTGAGGAACAAGCGGATGAAAGGCCCCTCCCCGAAGGAGGCAATGTCCACGCGGTTCCCTCCTGCTCCGGTCCCACTGGCTGACCCCTGGTGCTCCCAGGGCAAAATCTAGATTACAGTGCCCAGCAGGGGAGCGTGGCAGCCCCCCCCCGGGATGAGCCTTGCAGCCCCTCTCCTTTCTTGCAGGTCCCCCACAGTGCAGCTCTGCCCCCTAGGCCACACCCCCAGCCTGGGCTGTCCTCTCCCCAAATCTTCCCTGGTGGTTTGGCCCGGGCCAGGCTTTCCTGTGCCTCACCCCCAGGGCGCTTGGCTGGTAGTTTTGCTCCTTTCCTAGGTGATTTTTCCCATCCTGGGAATGCAAGAACTCAAGGCCAGGATTCAGCCGCTTGTCTGCGGGATTCTAAGGTGTCTGCAAACACTGGCTGGGGAGCACTGGGAGTGGACAAGTGGACAGAGCACCTCCAGATCCCTCCCACGGGGCCGGGCCCTGAGCCTGGGTGTGACTGGGGCCGGGGGAGCCAGGGGCCACAGGACTGGCTAAGGTCCCTTCCCTGGAGGAGGGACCATGTCGGGAAGGGGAGCTGGGCGGAAGTTTGCCACTGAGGTGCTAATCTCAGCTTCCTGTCCAGAGTTTCCTCTCTGCTGCCCAGGGCCTATCTTAGGATGGCCGCAGCTGCCGAAATGGATCTGGCGCCTCACCTGTTCCAAGTGAGGAAGCGCTTGCTCACTTCCTGCTCCTGCCGCTGCCCCCCGGCATGCCCACACGTCGCCTCTGCCCAGCGGGGCTCACCTTGGCCAGGAACCAGGTGGGAGCTGACGGCCGGCCACAAGCTTTCTGGCCTTCTCTGGGAACCTGGTGAGGATGTCCTTCCTTGGCCTTCCCCGGAGCCACCCCTCAGTGACCAGAGCCCCTGAGCATCAGTGCCGGGGAGCAAACCTGACCCCCTTGCTCACACACCCTCTGACAGCCTTGCTTATCACTTGGGCTCTGGGTTCTGGGTTCCCCAAACAGGCTCCAAGCTGGGGTCAGTCTGTCCAGGCACCCAATAAAATCGGTGTCCTCCAGGGTCTGCCCTGGGGGTGTGCAAGGATATAGGGGGACTCGCAGGCAGTGTCTGGGACGCCTGGCTCAGCGGGGCTGGAGGTGGACTTGGGAGAGAGAGAGAGAAGAGAGAGAACTGGGCGCGGCGGCGGCTTCCTCGGGCACCCCAGGCCCTACCGGGTAGAGAGAGCAGGGCAGAAGGCCGCGGGGATGGGGCGGGCCCCTGAGCATGCGCGCTTGCAGACCTTGGCGTCCCGGGTTGCCAAGGCAACCCCGGGACACAGTCGTGGGGATGGCCTCCCAGGCTGCGGGCGCCGCAGGTCAGCAGCAGGCCGCCCCGACGGTGAGCGCTGCCCTCGGGAGCAGACCCTGCCTTTTCGGGGGGGCGCGGGGAGGGGGCTTTGGAGGGAGTGCGAAGGGGCGGGGGCGAGGACGCAACCTAACCGGGAAGAAAGGGAGCTGCGGGTGGGTGAGGGTTGGTCCCCCCAGCCCTTGTTCCCCCTGGGCTTGGCACGGTCTCCTCCGCCCTCCAGCGCTGGGTGACCATCGTGCAGCCCCTGTCTTGGCCCGTCGTGCCGCCTGCGGTCCCCCAGCCGAGCCGCGTGAAGGAAGGTGAAACTCAGGGCTCACCCGCTCCCTACCTGCTGGACACTGGAGACATTTCCACCACCCTTGGGGCTGGAGGTGGGGGGAGGCCTGGGGTGGGGGCAGAGGGCAGGGGATGGCCTGGGGCGGGGCTGGGGGGGCTGATGAAGCGCCCCCGACCCCCACCCAGACCTGCTGGAGCTGATGATGCTGCAGAACGCGCAGATGCAGCAGCTTCTGTTCAGCCGCCTGGTGGCCGCAACGCTGCAGCCCTGTAGCCGGCAGGTGAGGGACTAAGGTGGGGGCAACGGGCCAGCTGGGAGGGGCGGGGGGGGGGGCCGGTGCGTGGGGGTGGGCGACTCCTCCCAGTGCAAGGAGCAGGAAGGTGCGCACACTATGGGGCTGGGAGGGGCGTCCTGTGGGCCCCCTGGTGGGCGGGCAGGAGGCGTCCAAGGAAGTTTCCGCTGCCCCAGGGGCTGGGGGGTGCCCAAGTGGGACTTCACATTAGGTAGGGCCTCACATGAGTTTTGTGGAGCAAGTGAATGAACGGTGGGGAATCCGGTCGGCTAAGATGCAGAGCAGGGGACCCCAGAACCAGCCTGGGGGAGCACATGGGATTTGAGGCTCAGAGGGGGCAGTCGCTGATGCACTGTCATGGCTGGGGGGAGGTGCTGTGCCCTCGATACCCCCCATGCCCTGGGGCCCATGGAGGTCCAGGAAAGGCCAGGGATACTCAGCTGGACTCTGGGCTCCACCGAGTACCACACACAGCCCCCGCTTAGCTCCGCTCCTGACGTTAGACCAACCTCCTTGAGCCTGTTTCGCCCACGAGCGAAGTAAAGACTAACTGGGCTCCAAACGGTAGACAAGAAGGAAGCTGTAGGTGCTCCTGCAGATGGGAACTGCTCAGTAAGGAGCAGTCCTCTGTGCATCTGGGCTGCAGGTCAGTCAGAGACCCTGAGCCCATGTCATCCCCAGGTCTACCTGGAGCCGCAGCCGGAGGGCTTCCTGGAGCAGGAGGTGGTTGCTTCAGAACCGGAGGAGGAGCCTTGGGTGTTCCACCACCACTACTTGCCCTGCCCCCTGCCCCCGGCAGGCCTGCTGCCCTCCTTGCCGGTCCCTTTGCCATCCCCTCCCCCTCAGTGGCAGAACACAGTCAGGATTCAGGACCGTCCTCCTGCCCTTGGGAAAAGGAGGGTGTAAGCGAGCCTGGGGCATCTGGTGCCACTCAGGGCGAGGGGTGGGGGTCGGGGCGGAGACGCCCTGAGCAGACCCCGCATGCCCCCTCTGACGGGATCTCTGCTTTCTCCGCCCCAGGACAGCTGTGCCCCCGCCCCCACCTCCCAGTGCAACAGGCACTGTGGGTCCAGACGTGCCCCCCGCTTCAGGTAGGGGCTGCACAGGTGGGCCGCGGGGTCCAGGGCCAGGAGTGGGAGCTCCTGGCCTGTCCCTCTGTCCGCCCAGGGGCCCAGTGAGGCGGGGGAGCCTCTGAGAGCACCCTGTGCCAACAGATTTCTACGATGCCGAGAGCCTCTAGGATGGCAGGAGCTGAGTGTCCACCGCATGCCAGAGGCAGCTCGGGCCACCCCACAGCGCCGGGCCTGGGTGACACCGCCCTCCCCTGAGCCTGCTGGCCATCATTCCCGGACTCCCTCTCTCCCCAACCAGACGCCCCTGCCCCACCCCCAGGACCCAGATCCGGCCTGATCATAGGTCTGGAACAAGAGCCCCTCAGAGCCCACGTAGGAAGGAAGCCAGCACAGCCCGCCTCTGCGCCCCTTCTCCCTCACCCCACTTCCTGCCTGGGCTAAGGGAGGGCTGGGAGCAGGGCCCCTTCTCCTCCCGTCCATGTCTCTGGGATGACCGCAGCACCTCCGCTTGGCCTAGTCCCGGCTCTCCGTGGGCCCAGAGTGAAGGCTGGGCCTGGCCAGGTCCCACGCTCCCACCCTCATCCCGAGGCCGGCCCTGCTGCCGGAAAGGAGCTTCAGTGCCAGTGCCTGCTCAGACCAGACCGGGAGGGGCTGAGGTCCCAGAGGGCCGGGAGGGGACAGAGTGTTTTTGCCGGCCAGTGGGGTGTTTCCACACACACCCCCGACTCCCCAGGATAGATTAGTCACTCAGCCGAAGGATGGGTGCCAGGGCCAGGCTTGGGGAGGCCCCGGAAGGGGAAGGAGAGGGCGGAGGGCTCGTCTGGGAAAGTTCAGGCTTGGCGGAGCCCCTCCTTGAAGCCACGGAGCCACAGAGCTGCAGAACCACAGAGCCACAGTGCCATAGAGCTATGAGCCATGGAGCCGCAGAGCCACGGAGCCACGGGGTTTGTATTCAGAGAAAAGTCATCATGTCCCCAGAGTCCTCTGATGCTGGTTACAGGCCCTCAGCCAGGGCCCAGTCTCCCGGAGGCTATGCCCGGGAGGGCCACCGCAGGCTTCGCCACGCCGCCTGCACACCGTAGGCACCCGTCCGCTGCTGCCGCCAGTGCTGGCCAAAGACAAAGCAGAGCAGCACGGCTGCCACGAAGAGGAAGAGCAGCACGGACACGGCGGCGATGAGGATGACCAGCTGGCTGTCCTGGACGGGCTCTAGAAGGGGCCGCAGGGAAGGAACTCAGGGCACAGGTCTCTGTGGCACCCCCAGCTGCCAGCCCCCCACCCGAGGCCACGTGGAGGGAGTGTGGCCCCAGACTCTTCCAGGCAGGGCCGGTGGTGGCCCTCAGAGTGACCCCAGGGGTCTGCCAGACAAACATTCCCTCGTAGAAAGGACCCAGGGCTGGGCAGTGGAGGGGGTGCCCAGATGACTCCAGGCTAAACAACTCTATGGCATTCAAGCTGAGAACAGGGCTATGCATGGCCGAGTGGGACCCCCACCCCAAGGGAATGCAAAGGAGGGCCCTCCTCACCCCCCAGGGCTTCCTCTCACCGTAGACCTTGAGCGCTTGGGGCTCCGAGAGCCCGAGGACAACACTGCCCCCTACAGGCCGCAGGTCAAGCTCGGCCAGGCAGGAGAAGTTGCGGTGAGCGTCCTCGCTGCGGGCCGTGGCATGGTGCGTGGCCGTGGCCTCCTGCGGGCCCCGGGCTGCTTTACGGAAGGTCTGGCTGTGCAGGGGCTGGTGCCCGTGCAGCAGGGTGAGCGTGAGGCTCTCGAGGGGCGCCACCACCGGCACCCGACACTCCAGGGTAAAAGGTCTGCCCGCAGCCACCCACGATGGCTTCAGCTTCAGATGCACTAATTTTGGGGGGTCTGCGGAGGAGAGAGGAGGGCTGATGGTCAGGACGGGGTGCGGATTCAGCCGGTCCTCCCTGGCCTGGGCCAGCAGGAGTCCCTGGCTGGACTGGGGAAGGAGATGGGCAAGGGAAGCGCTGGAGAGGGACCCCACAGAGACAGTCCCCAGAACAATGGGGGACTTGGTCATGGCATTGCTCATCAGAGCACAGAGCTGGGGAGCGCAGACTTGGACTGGTGTCTCCGTGACGGCATAACCGGGGGTACCCTGAGCTCCACTTTCAACTAGTCTCCTGCTCCCATCCCCCTCCCTCCCATGGGGCAATGTGGGACTGGGAACATCTTCATGTTTATCTGATGGGCTCATGGCTGCCCAGGGAGCCTTCTGGGGATGGACTTGTGGCTGTGGGCAGGTGGGTGTGTGTGGGGGTAACACCAGGGTCTCCAGAGCCTTCTCCCCATGAGGCCAAGTGGCCCCCTGCTCCTCGCCATGGAATGTGGGGTGCCGTGGCAACTGCTGGCCTGGGTTGGCGACCTCCACACACAGCCCCCCAAACCCGGGTGGCCAGTGGGGGGCACAGGAAAATTCTGAGTTCACCATCTCTCACGCTTTGTCCCCCCTCCGCAGCCCCAGGAGGGAGCCCCCGAGTGTGCAGGAGAGTCAGATCAGCTTTGTGAACCTGGGGGCTGGGGGATCCCCACGATGCCACTCACGAAACACGGTGACACGGAGCCCCTTGGAGCGCTGCTGCCCAGAGCAGGTGAAGCGGCAGTAGACCACGGTGTCATGGGACGCGTTGGCCACCTGGTACTGCATCCAGTGGCTGCCCTGTGCCTGCAGCGTCTTGCTCAGGGCAGTGTCCAGGCCGCCATCCTCAGGCTGCGGGCAGCTGGTGCTGCAGTTCACCAGCCAGGACTCTGCGGGCCCCACCGCCACCTGCACGGGCCACACGGACACCCCGAACTCCTCGTCCCCCGACCCTGGAGGACAGAGACCCTCAGCGGTGGTCGCTCCCACGGGCAGCACAGGGGCAGCCCGAACTCTCTGCCCTGCTCTCTGCTCACATGCCTGGCCCAGCCCGCCAGCACTCGCTGTCCTCTGTCCCGAGGACAGGGCGTCTGGCCACTCGCTGTGCCTCGAGGCCAGGTCCATCCCTCACCTCCCCACCCTCCTCTCAGGTTGGGGAGGAGCAGGGGCCCTGGCCACCGAAAGCTGGGCACGGGAAGAGGGGGTTCACCAGACAGGGGCCGTGCGAAGATGGAGCCACACTCTCAGGAGCGGGGACAGGGCCAGAGGGACAGCACTGTGGGAGGGCACTTGCCTGGCACTCAGCCAGCCACATTCTATCCCCGGCTCTCCTCTGGGCCCCCACGTCCTGCCAGGAGAGACCCCTGAGCACAGAGCCAGGAGTAAGTCCTGACCGCCAGGGTGGGGGTGGGGGTGGGGGTGGGGGGGAAGGATGGCTCAGCCGTTCCAAAATAAAGATAATAAATAAAGGTGTACTGTCCAGCCTCCGGACCTCCGGGAACCAGGGCACCCTGGGCCAAAGAGTGTGGGAGGTGGGGTGAGCTGGGGGAGGGAGGGCCCAGGGCTGGAGTGGTGCAGCAGGGAGGGGGCACCTGGACCCCTCCCCTTGCCTCAGTGACTCAGACCCTGCAGATACTCCCTGGGGCATTTTCCTTTGTCTCCGGACAATGCCCTGTGAGGAGGGTCCCCAGAGCTCACCTCCCACCAGGAAGCTTCTAGCTCCCACCCAACGCCTCAGCCAGCCCTGCTGCCTTCAGCCACAGGGCCACCCAGGCTGTGTGGACACACACACACACACACACACACACACAAACACAAACACACACCAGTCTGTGTGGATACACACACCAGGCTGAGTAGACACACACACACACACACACACACACACACCAGGCTGAGTGGACACACACACACACACACACACACACACACACACACAGTGGCCAGGGAGACGGGGCAGGAGTCTCGGTCTGCCAGGGCCTCCTCACCCCACAGGCTGCCCCTTCCACAGGCCGCCCAGAGGGATCAGTCCTCCCTCCCACTTTGCCCTCTGCCTCTCTGTCCTGTTCCCCCACGCTCCTAAAGCCACCCCAACCCCTGCCACACAGCAGCCAGGACGTTGGGGACGTAGGGACCCCCACGTGCTGACCTGGCCCTGAGCCAGTTCCGACAGCCTCCCGGGCCCACAGAGAGCCATGCCAGAGGAGACCGTGGGGGGTGCAGGACCCCTCCCTCCCAGGAGCAGGGTGTAGCACCCCACCTCCGCAGGTAGGGACTCAGGCACGGGCTCACCTGAGTGGCAGGAGAGGATGAGAAGGGCGGCCAGCAGGCCCCAGCCCGGGGAAAGGCGCATTGCGGGGGGCCTGGTGGGCCGCGGGCAGGCAGGGAGGAGCGGAGGGCCCCCAAGGCCGCTGCAGGTTCGAGTTGTGAGTTGCGAGTGGCCACGGAGTCGCAGCCGGAGCCCACCCACCGCCCGTGGCTGGTGACTGCATTTCCGCTCATTATCTGCCTGTTCTTCGGAAGCCCCGGGAAGGGCCGGCTCCTGAGGCCCGCGGGAACGCAGGCAGAGGAAATGGATGGAGCTGATAAGCTAGGGACAGCCTGGCCCTGCTGGCAGGCGCCCATGCAGGGGACAGGGCGGGGGACACACGGGGACAGGGGGATAAGCATGCGTGGGTGAGCCCCACACAGTGCCCCAGCACTGGGCATGCCGGAGAAAGTGATGCCCACGAGACCTGGATGGGGGGGGCAAGGTCATGGAAAACACTTCTGGGGGCCCCTCTGAGAAGGGCAGAGCCCAAGTCTGGCCTCTCCTAGGACCACCCTCCCCAAGCAGGTGACCAGCTGACTTGTCTCAGCTCCTGGGCCAGAAGTGAAAGTGTCCATGTGAGTCCACTTGCCCATCATGACTGCTGGGCTGAGCCAGGGACACCTTCCTGGCCCTGGGGCTGGGGGCGGGGGCAGCCTTCTCCTTGAGCCCCCATGTGGTCAGGGTTCAGACTCAGAAACTCTGGGGGAGTCTTCCTCTCCCTGCCTGGGCCTGAGTGAGGTTGCTGAGCACAGCCTGGGTGCAGGGGGTCCCTCATGAGAGTCAGCGCCACCTGGAGTGGGGGCAGGGTGTCTCTGGAGAGGACACAGGGGCAGCAATCTGGGATCCACTCCAGGGGTGACGGGCCGGCCGTGGAAACATTTTCAAATGGTATCAGAAGAAACTACCCTCAACCAAGCCCAGAAGATGGAGTCTGGATAAAAATACAGAAAAAGTGGGACAAATGTCATAGAAAGTTGTG